TTGAGTTTTTTTTTTCATTGGCGTTTCCATTAAGCAAATTTATTTATGTGGTTCCAGTTTGAGCATTTATAAGGCCAATGGAAACGTACTGATTGTGGCAGCTGTGTGACGTTCCATCTGGCGAACTTTCGGCCCCCTGTCCAGCTCCACTCAACTTTCATGAGCCACTCTTCTGACTCTGCAAGCAGAAAGGATTGCTGGCGAGTGCAGATAGTCAGAACAGAGGTTCTTCAGTCAGAGAGCAGGTTTTGAGGAGCAGTTATTCGAGGCAGTGAGGAAGTTTGCACTGAAATATTAAACCTCCCTCTGCTTGGTTCTGGTCCGAGAACATCTCACAGATGCCTTATGTGCTTTTTTTTTTGATAATGTGAAAACTAAAGTAATTTTCCAGCCAGACGATTATTACTTTCTTCTCCTCCAAACTTCTGAACTCGTAATAGTCGTTCCTCTCTGCCATGGTTGCTGTGTTTACTTTGATGTTGTAAACCTCACACAGAGCAAGACGCCATGACATGACATGTACTGCAGCAGGACGGGCAGCTCGGCTCGGTGTCCTCTGGACTGTGAGAGGTCTGTGTGAAAATGCACATCCAAAAACCATGTGACGATTGGCAGTCCGACTTTGGTCCGACATGCTGCACCCTTCAGTGAAGAGTGGCTGACTCCGAGATAGAGGGAACTACAGCATTCCAGTTGTGATAAAATGAAGGCGTGGATTACTGTTTCAAAGTATTGCCTTGACAGAATAGGATTTTATTTTTGCTTATTTCTTTTAATGATAAAAACTCATTTGACTGTGGCCCTTATTTGACCGTCAAGATTGAAATCAATGTCCATCTTAAATAGCCAGATTTGTAGATTTGTAACTGTGGTCTTAGCGCACATTGCCGGGGGGTCAAAATCAACTGGACACATTCCAAAAACAAGTACGCCAGTCTTTTTCTTTTATTAAAATACAGAGAATTTAGGGCCATGCAAGCTTTAAGATTCTTGAAACACAATCAGAGCTTTGAAGGATCAAGAATCCTTAAAGGCATGAAGATTTGGTAATCATCGGCGAAGCAATCAAAGGAGATTTTATAAAAGTTGATCCAAGAGGAAGAAGATGCAAAGAAAAAAGCAACCTGTTCATGCTTCCATGAACAGGTTAGGATAGGTCTGTGAGTTATACTAAAACATGTTCATTAGGGTGTGCTGTGGTGGTGCAGGGGTTGGGCACGGCCCACATATGGAGGCCTTAGTCCTCGACACAGCTCTCGCACGTTTGATTCCCGGCCTTGGCGACCTTTGCTGCCTGTCTTCCCCCTTCTCTCATTACCCACTTTTCTGTCAAATAAAGGCCACTAGAACCAAAAATAAAACAAACATGTTCATTACATTTTTATTTTGCACAAAATCATTTTTAGCTAATGAGATCTTAGTCTGTTAGTTCTTCCTATTTTGAGCTCCTTTCAGAATGAACTGTTTTAGGGGTTCTTGTCACTTTAAATCCAAATAAACTGCTGCTGACCTCATTCCCAACTCAACATTTACATTTGCAAATGGCTGCAAACAGATGCAACTATACAATCGCACATACTGTTTACCTCATTTTAGTAGAGAGAAGGAACAATGTCTTTCAGAAAATCCCTCTTGATACTAGTGCAGGTTGCTGAAGCAGTGGTCTGTAAGTGCTCTGGAGCACCCGGAGGGAACCCACCATGCTCAGGGAGAACATGCAAACTCCATCCAGAAAGACCCCAGGCTGGGATTCGAACCCAGGACCTTTTTGCTGTAAGGCAGCAGTGCTACCAACTGTGCCATTGTGAGAAATATATTTTAAAAAGCATTTATTCTCACAATCAAAATATTAATACCGCAGTTATAAATTGGATGATTACAACATGTCATTTGAAGAAGCTTGAATTTATTTATTAGTAGTCACAGTCATATTATTAATTAATTTCAGTAATTTAGCAAAGAAACATTCATGGAAAAACATAAAAAAAACCATAAAACCCAACTAATTTGGGGGAGACCACTGCATTCTAAAAAAGCAGAAAACAAAAATGTAAAAATTGGAGCTTAACTCTGATGTAGATGTAATATGCATATGTACACACACACGCGCACAGACACACACACACACACACACACACACACAACAAACAGTGATGGCTGATCATCATGTATTAATATCGAGATCTGAGTGTTTGACCCCCACAGTTCAAATGAAACACTCTGAATGGATGCATCAGACTGGAAGCAGTTTGTTCACATCTCACTGCCCTCATTAACATTTAGCTCCACTACTCCATTTAACCCCAATCCCTCTGCAAAAATCAGAAATGTTACTCATTATTTAGCTCCCTTACAAATATCTAATTTTTCACCAAAAAACACATTAAGTGTTTCAACTTGTACAAATTGAATGACTTGATTTACCATGCCATAAATTGTTTACTTCCACCAAATAGATGTGAAATGGACAAGGTAAACATAGTAAACAGAGAAAATATTTTTTATGTTATTGCACGTGTCAGTAAAATTCTATAAATGTCATTTAACATTATGTTACTTTAATGTGCGAGTATTGGATCACACCATAGACACCTATAAAATCTGAGCTCTGCTTTAAAGTAGCTTGGCCATTGCCTTTTTACGCAGTTCCGCTTGATTCTGTTTTGTGCGCCCGCGTGTCTGTATGTCTGAGAGAGAAATAGAAAGAGCGAGAGAGTGAGAGTATCTTCTTACATCATGCAGTCAGAAAGGTAGCTTTCTACAAAAAATGGATTTTCTTGCTCTCACTTGTGCTTTCAAATTATTCATGGCTAAACACAAACAAATACCAGAAAGTTGTATTTATAAATCAATAACATTTTCTTTCCAGCTGCCAGATTAATATCCTGACAAAAAGAACTCGTTCATAACTGCTCTTTACAATGAGTGTTATAAGAGAAGTACTGTTAGCACAGAAGGTGTTAGCATGTCAGTAGCTGTATTGTTGATGTTCCAGCCTTTTCCTAACCCTACGAATGTTTTTAGGTAACCTGAGAAAAGTTCAGTGTTCTTTTCTCTCCCCTTCCCTTCCTGTTCTGTGTCACTGACCTGCAGAGCAAGTGATTTAGCAGGCCTGCACTTTCCTTCTTTCCTAAAGAGTTTATTGTCTACTTGTCCAGCACCATCTCTGTGTTCTGTTTCTCTCTGAATGTTTTAACTAGGTTAGCTGGGGAGTTCTCATAGACAGGAGATGGACACTGTTTCCTTATCCATTTGCCCCAGCAGTGAAATGCTCTAATTATTGTTGTTCATATTGCTATGTGTTTTTGTTTGTTCCAAAATCTTTTAAGTCGCCATGTTTGAATTTTTAGAAACCTAATCCTTGTTTTAGGTAAACGTCAGCTCTGAGCCTGAAATAATTTTGGGCATATTTATAGTTTGTTTTCATGGATAAATTACCATCCTAAAAATGTGACAGATTTAACTTCTAGCACTTATTAAATATTAGATAAATTTGTGACATTGACTTGTTCAGTTTTGAAAAAAGGGCCTTGTAGAGATGCAACAGTTGATAAAATCAGCCTTTCACTCTCCGTTTGGTCCAGTGGGAATTTTGCGGTGAGTCTGCTGTGGGAGGAATTTGGCTGCTGTGGTGAACATGAATAGAGTTTGTCAGTTGCAGTTCCAGGGCCACACAGCTACACCCCTCCCCCCTTTAACTGCCTACTGATCCTGTGAACCGTCAACATGAGCTCATCCATTGTAATCGTGAACAAACAAACACCAAACTTAATATGTGTGTGATGTCTTTCCCATTAAGAAACTGGACATTTTTACTGTTTATTTCTGGGATGAGAAAGACAGTACAGTGTATGTATTCTAGCACAATTTGCAAAAACCTTGTTTTACTTGCTGCATTGGGTTCCAAGCAAGCAAGTATATAGCCCAAAGAGCAACTAGACACACACAAACACACACAGTATATATTTCTATATACATACACACCGATAGAGTGCCAAAAACATATAATTACACAAGTTTGAGTAGATCTAATAAATTACTCTAACCCTGTCTACATAAAATAAATCCTGCCTCACAGTCTTCACTTGATCAACAAATTAAGACTTGAAGCTCAAACATTGAGTTATTAGCGACATTGTGTTAGATTTAGCCATAATGCACATTTATACATGTGAATGTAAATAAATAAAGCATGCTGCATACACACAACTGAACATTCCAACTTTTTAGTTATCTACCTCTAGTGTCTGAGATCACTAAACAAACCATGCTACTGGAGCTGACTGTCCCATGGGGAGATTGCTTGGAAGAAGCTGTTAAGGAAAAGGCCTCCAGGTACGCAGGGCTGGTAGTGACTGTAAGTGGGCAGGTTGGAGAACGAGGTGCTTCCCAGTTGAGGTTGGTTGCAGAGGTTTGGTGGCTCACTCCTTGGTCAGAGCCTCGAGTAGTGTTAGCATCAAGGGGGAACGCAGAAGGAGAGCACCACTGAAGCAACTGAAGCAGCAGAGAGGGCTTCAAGATGACTGTGGCCTCTGAGAGGAGAACTGTGGAGCCAATGTAGCTAGTTAGCCATCTGGACAGAAGCTGGGGACTGATCATCCCCGGCAGTATGTACATATATATGTACATACATATGTATGTTTGTATGTATGTATGTATGTATGTATGTATGTATGTATGTATGTATGTATGTATGTATGTATGTATGTATGTATGTATGTACGTACGTACGTACTGCTCAAAAATAAAGGGAACATTTCACTTTAATTTTGTGTGTGGCTCCAAATCCAGGCCTCCATTGGTTAATAAATTTGATTTCCACTGATGACTTTTGTGTGATTTTGTTGTCAGCACATTCAACTTTGTACAGAACAAAGTATTCAATGAGAATATTTCATTCATTCAGATCTAGGATGTGTTATTTGTGTGTTCCTATATATACTAGTTGGTTCCAACTTCCTGTGTCTAACTTTTGTCATTGTTTCTTTTTTCTGTTTCAGGATGACAGTATGATGGGATAGATTTGAATATGGGTCAATGGGCAGGCATGCAAGTTCCTCTCCTCAGCCTGACTCTCCAACTCTTATTACTGATATCCAAGCCATCAGCCGGCTACAACCAGAACTCCCATGAAACTCAGGATGTGCCCAGTTTCAGCTTCACCCATTCCGTCTACCATGCAACAGTTCATGAAAACTCAGCAGCACGCACCTATGCCAACAGTAAAATTAAAATGGGCATTCAACTTTCCAAAAGGTCCTGGGAAATTCGCTACAGAATTACCTCAGGAGACGACGAAGGGCTTTTTAAGGCAGAAGACTACGTCCTGGGGGACTTCTCTTTTTTGCGCATAAGGACCAAAGGGGGCAATGCAGCCATCTTAAACCGGGAGATTCAAGATAATTATGTATTGACAGTGAAAGCCTACGTTAAGGGAGAGTCTCTTCTTGAGGCCTGGACTAAAGTCAGCATTCAAGTGTTGGATATGAATGACCTCCGGCCCCTGTTTTCACCCACCACATACTCTGTGACCATAGCAGAAAGCACTCCTCTCAGGACTAGCATAGCGCAAGTTACTGCCACTGATGCAGATATTGGCTCCAATGGAGAATTTTACTTTTTTTTCAAGGACAAAATGGAACTGTTTGCAGTACACCCAACCAGTGGAGTGGTTTACCTTAGTGGAAAGCTTAATGTTGATGAACAGGACCGGTACGACTTAGAAATTATGGCGGTTGACCGTGGTATGAAGCTGTATGGTAATAATGGAGTTAGCAGCACAGCCAAACTTTTTGTCCACATAGAGCGTGTGAATGAGCGCGCTCCAGTTATGACTGTAGTCACCCATGCATCCGCTAGGCTGGAGAAGAATAGTCTATATGCCCTTGTTAGTGTTGAAGACTTTGATGAAGGCTTAAACGGGGAAATTGATTCTGTTTATATTATGGATGGTGACCCTTCAGGACAGTTTTACATAGAAAGACGTGAAGAAGAGGAATTTGCAATTAAATCCACCGAAATAATAAACTGGGAAACTTTCCCATATGGCTGTAACTTAACCCTGCAGGCTAAAGACAGAGGGACTCCTCCCCAGTTCTCTGCTCCACAGGTTCTCCACATAATGTTTTCAAACCAGCAGGCAACAGAAGCTAATTTTGAGCAAGAGTTCTATGTTGTTAGTCTCAATGAAGTTTCACCACCTGGCACAATTGTGGGTTTTTTTAAGATCAAACCGGAACCTGATGATGCAGAGTACATTCTGACACCCTCTGCAGATTCAGCTTTTTTTAAAATCAATACCTTAACAGGTGTAATTTCCACTTCTCGCTGGTTGACCCATGTATCCAAGGATATCTTTAGTCTTGAGGTGTTGGAGGTAGACAGCAATCTCAGAGCTAAAGTACAGGTAGCCATTGAAGATGCCAATGATAACACGCCTGAATTTTCCCAGTCCTTCTATGAGGTTTTTGTAAATGAAAGTGTTCCAGCTGGAACCAACATATTAACAGTCTCTGCAGTCGATGAAGATAAAGGTGAAAATGGATACATCACATACAGTATTCACTGCCTTCAGCAATTACCCTTCAAGATTAACCAATTTTCTGGTGTCATAAGCAGTAACACAGATCTAGATTTTGAAGCCTCGCCAGAGGTATTTGTATTTGTTGTTAGAGCTTCTGACTGGGGTTCACCCTACAGGCGAGAGAGTGAAGTCAATGTCACAATCCACTTACAGAATATAAATGACAATAAGCCATTGTTTGAGAAGGTAGCATGCAAGGGGGTGATTTCTGTAGATTTCCCAGTAGATGAAGTAATTACCACAATGTCTGCAATTGACATAGATGAGTTAGAGTTAGTAAAATATAAGATCATTTCAGGAAATGAGCTGGGGCTCTTTGACCTCAACCCTGATTCAGGAGTTCTTGTACTGCGTAATTCCCTTTCAGCACTGAGCCCTAAGCACAGCATCTTCAGTTTAAAAATAACTTCTACAGATGGTGAAAACTTTTCAGATCCCATGTTTGTCAACATTTCAGTTGTACATGGAAAATCTCTTTACAAGCATTTTACATGTAAAGAAACCAGTGTAGCACAAAGGTTAGCTGAAAAGTTACTTAAAAAATCCAAAGCTAGCACCAAATCTAAAACCGAGGAAGGTTTTATTGACCTGTTCTCTGTGAATCGACAAACACCCCAGTTCGACAAAGCTTTTCCCACAGACATCGCTGTGCAGGAAGACTTAAAGGTTGGCTCCAGTGTTTTCCAGGTGAATGCGTATGATGGTGATACAGGTTTCAATGGTCAGATTCTGTACTCTATTTCAGATGGAAACACTGACAGTTGTTTTAACATTGGCTTGCAGACTGGTCTAATAAGTGTTTTTCTGCCTATGGACAGAGAAAAGAGAGATCACTACATCCTCAACCTAACCATTTTTGACCTTGGTCTGCCACAGAAAGCAACTTGGCGTTTGCTTACTGTTCACATTGTGGATGCAAACGATAATGCCCCTCAGTTTTTACAAGAAGGATATAGAATAGTAATTCCTGAAAACACTGCAATAGGCACAATTATTATCCAGGTCGAGGCCACTGACAAAGATCTTGGACTCAATGGTGAGATAGTTTACTCTCTCTTGACCAGCACCACACAGTTTGGCATTAACTCCACTAACGGGATAGTTTATGTCACTGGCCAACTCGACCGAGAGTTGGCTCCAACCTATAACTTAAAGATTAAAGCTCGAGACAGTGCAGCTAAAGGGAGACACAAGTTTTCAGTCACCATTTTGAAAGTTATTTTAGAGGATGTGAATGACTGTCCTCCACTATTCATCCCCAGTGTTTACAAAGCCAGAGCTCTTGAGGATCTTCCTGTAGGAACTGTTATAGCCTGGATCGAAACCCAGGACCCAGATGTGGGATTAGGAGGCCAGGTGCGGTACTCTCTGGTCAACGACCACAACGGATGGTTTGAATTAGATCGGAACAGTGGAGCCATTCGACTGACGAAGGAACTGGACTATGAGGTCCAGCAGTTCTACAACCTCACAGTGAAAGCCAAAGACAAAGGAAAACCTGTGTCTCTTCTGTCTGTCACCTTTGTGGAGTTGGAAGTAATCGATGTGAATGAAAACCTCTATGCTCCTTACTTTTCACACTTTGCCTTGACTGGAAGAATTGAAGAGAATGCCCCAATCGGAACTACTTTACTCCAAGTTAGTGCTCAAGATGATGACGTTGGTAGAGATGGAGAGATCCACTATTCCATTCGGGATGGGAGTGGGCTTGGAAGATTTGCCATCGATGAGGAAACGGGTGAGTTTTCTTTTATGGTCAATGAGTTATCCAGCTTATTAGTAGAAAAAAATACGAGCAATTTTTCAGTTAAATTAGACACAGTATCTTGTATTCCTAAAGTTTGCACTGTTAAAATTAGGTGTTTTTTATCCTCTCAGCATGAGGTTTGAATGATAATCTTGCAACAAGCAAAATTCCATGATATTTAAATTGTTTGACCAATATGATCTTTTCTCCGAAAATAAATATGACTGGGTCAGTTGTATTTTCTGGTCTTTCAGTAAAATAAATGCCAACTGTTTAAAAACATTTTTTTTGAGGAAAGCATGTTTAAGCCAAGTGGCTATTTGTAACAAGAGTAAGTCAGTAACTTGGGAAGAAACTTGATTTTTGTCCCTACCATGTACGTAAATGACAGTGTCATCTGCGTACAATTGGTAATCAACACTGTTACAGGCTGAGGGAAGTTCAGGAATGTATAAGATGAATAACAGCGATCCAGTGTCTGGCTGTAGAAAGTTGGTTATTTAGTTTGATTTAACTAAGCCTGACTGTTAGTCTGATCTGGAGCAGGTTAGCTTCACAGGATAAATCGCTTTTTTGATTTTTCTTAATTAAGAAAAATCCCTGCTTAATCCACTATCCTGGTTTTGTGAAACAGCCCTTTGTGATAGACACATTTACAAACATTTATGTTGTTGTTCTTAAGCATAGAGCCAATGTGAATAACGATGGCTCTATGCTTAGTGTTATTATCCATTTTCAAGACCATTCGGTGCCACGGGCTTTAAAGTTCCAGCTCAAGTCTTTAGATGTTGCTTCAATATTTCCATATAATATTGTGTCTAGATACTAAATGGACTGTTCTCCAGAGAATCATGTTATGGTTGTTTTGGCAGTTAATTGTGCAGGATATTGTTGCATTCCCCTCTTTATATGGAGTGCAAAATAAATTCAAAGTTCTTTATGTATTACATTTTCCTATTCATGTATTTAATCTTTATTTTCTAAGCACATTTAATATTTGAAGTTGGGTGGATTTTCTTTAATTGCACAAACTGTCTTCTTTCTCAGGAGTGATCTACACCACAGACACATTGGATCGGGAAACCAAGGACTCTTACTGGCTGACGGTTTATGCCAGTGACCGTGGCGTTGTTCCCCAGTTCAGCACAACTGAGGTGTTCATTGAAGTGGATGATGTCAATGACAACGCCCCACTCACCTCCGAGCCTTTGCTTCAGTGCTCAGTACCAGAGAATTCTCCCCGGGACGTTTCAGTAATTCAAATCCACGCGCAGGATCCTGATGTCTCCCCGCCTTCTACTGCTGATTGGCTAAGTTATCGGATTGTTAGTGGAAACCCACAGAACTTCTTTACTATCAACTCTCGTACTGGTGAGTCATTTTCTGTTTCTCGGTCATGTAAGTTGAGTTTGTGACAGTGGCTGGCTTGAGCTGAAAAGGGCTTTGAGTGGTAGGTATGACTTGAAAAGTGACATCTAGGTTTAATCTATTTACCATTTGTTAAAGTGTTTCATTGGTGGATTAAACATAATTGATGCAAAGACAAAGTCTCTACTTGTCTGGCAACACAAGAGGATGCTTGTTGGTCTAGTCTAGTTGGTTACCAAGGAAGGGTGTTGCTATGGAATTGGGTTTTAGGCCAATGCCATGTGAAAGAAGAATTAAAATAGTTCCTGTGCCAAGATTTATCAGTTCTTGGCACAGGAACTTGTAAATCAGTTAGAGTGAATATTAGTTATTGTTTGTCAACTCAGCAGTCAGTCTTAGTCATTCATTCATCTGTACAAGTGAATCAGCTTGGCTATAACAAGCACAAAGGAAACTTGACTGGGATACTGTAAAGTTTTCTGACAGTTGAAACACATCTTTGGATTTTTTCAGCCTGGTTCTTTTCCTCAGATTAAACATTTGATTTTAAAGACATTAATGATTGCATTTCTGTGCTTACATTAAGTAGTTATCAGGTTATTCATAGTGCCTGTGTTCTGCTCTATTTAAGCTCCCTTCAGACACAGACACTCCAGTTCTGTGTGTAGATGTTCAGCATTAATTCCTTGCTATTTTTTAATCTTCCAGTTATGACCTTGCTTTTGTCTTACTCATTTGCTTGTTCTGCTGCTGGATTCTACATTTATCTCTTCTTTCTGTACACAAACCACAGAAAAGGATTCTCACCTTTGACGCCATCTCACTTCATGCCTCATCACCTCACTATTTGTGTCTGTGTATCTGACCCTCACTTGCCTTCTTACCATGTCTCCACCCATCAGAGAATATTTATCATTGGATGTATTGTGCATAGAAATCATCCTGGAACTTTTCTGTGAAGACTCTATAGTTCATACAGTCGGACATTGAGCAGCTGATTCATCATCCAAGAATTACTCCTGGACATTTGTATGACCAATCTGTGACTCAGCCAGTTCCGGTTTTTAATAAATCTATTAAAACGTGGTCTGTGCTTGGTTGAATTATTGGGCTCTCTGTACCAGACGTTACACTTATTAAATCTTGAAAATTAATCATAAAGGACTCCACCCACCCTGCACACAGACCGTTCCAGCGGCTCCCCTTGCTTGTCGTCATCGAGCTTACCTCACGACTGTAAAGCAGCCCAAACCAGTGCTCAGTTCAAAAGGTTCGAACCTCCTGAGCCTGATCAGCCGGTCCCAAGCAGGTCAACCAGGGCTCTGTGAAAGCTGGTGGAGGAGAAAATGTCAGCCTCTAAGTGCCTAGCATCCAAACGTCGAACCCCGCTTCATCTGATGGCCCAGTCAGACTGAGTAACCTGCAGCTAACCAACCCTCCCTGCCATGCTCGTTAACAGCAGCTTCTCCTCTTAAACAACTTGCACTTAAAATTGGGCTGAATTGATTTAGAAATCTGGACAAAACAGAGTTCTGGGATTTTTATTTTTTTTTTTACTGTCTTGATCAAAACAACCGATAAAAACCTCTGATAAATCTGTTGAGCACAGTAATGAACCTTAAACACCATGAAGAACTCTTAAAAGTGACAATCTTAATAATCAAATTTTCATAACTTCCAGTATGAAAGTTATGAGTAAGACTTTCATTGCTTTAATTTGCAGAGCTTAGCAGGTATAGCACACAGTAAAAAATCCAGCAAAATAAGAAAAGTACATAAGTTGTAAAAATCATTGAATCATGTTCCCTAAAACTGTAGCTGAGTGAACTTTTTGAATGAAATAAGTTTGCAGGAGATAGAGAGAGAGGTTCATACCACATAGAAAGCTTTTCCTGGGTTGATCCATTTGTTCTTTCTGTGGAAAACGTGGTAAAAATCCAATTTTCCCTGATGGGCAAATGTAGCCCCAAAAATCAAAGGAAGAAATTCCTCCACTTTCTCTGGACAAAACTTGTGAAAATTCTTGGATTTAACAAATGGAAAAACCCACCGTAAAGCAGCAGTCTTGAGAATAAACCCAAATTCTGAAACTTTGACTTTTGGCGCGTGGGTTGGCCTCTTCAGGGTTGCAGTTGTTGGGTCTGGTTGAGGCTCAGTTCTTCTCTCAAACCCAGATTGTCTTCTGATCTCTTCTCTTGACTTGAACACAAAGACTGACCCTGAGGCACAACCCCGAATATTAGCAAGTGATTCTGCTTTCTACTTTTTTGGGCGATGCCTTTGTGCCTTTTTGCACAAACTGTTAAAACAATAAATTTTTAGAAAATTCCTCTTTTTATCCTGTTGAAGCTCTTGTGAGAGTCCCTCTGCAGCCCACTGGACTCTGTCTGAAACAACTTCCCCTTTTCTCACGCCATATCTGAGTCACCTGTCCCTTATCTTACAGATCAATACAGTTTATACATTTGCAATCAAAACATCATTTAAATAACAAAGACTACCTTTGTACATCACATTACTCCCCAGTTATTGATGTCATTTATTTATTTATTTATTAAGCTTCCTGATCTGGGACCTGAGTCCAAATTCCGGACTATAAACAAATGCGAAAATGTGAGCTGATATGACAATAAAACCCTTGAATCTTTGAATTTAACAACTGCTGCTGTTTTCTTCCTCAGGACTGATCACTACAACCTCTCGGAAACTGGATCGTGAACAACAACAGGAGCACGCTCTAGAGGTGAGGAAATCTTTCCTAATTTCTATCAAAATTTCATCTGGCACCTTGTCTTTTGTTCTTGAAGCCAGAGGTGATCACTGAGACGTGGGATTAATCATTTTGACATCCGATTCATTTGTTATTTCAGTTAAGTACTACCAGAACTCTGGTAGTCTATATGTTGCTCATATACAGCAGATTGATAAAATACTAAGACCTATTATTTTGTTGGCCACTTTTGCCACCCTATCAATCTTTACTTTGAAATCAGGAAATGATGGGAAGAGTAGGAAAATACCTATGTCCATATGCTGGCTTGAAATGAAGAGTAGGATGATTTTAGCAGCCCAACTGTCTGTTTCTAATGTCAGTGAGATAAAAATTTGTGAGAATTCAAAGATTGCAGTTTACTAAGAGATGCTATCATCAGCAAGACCTATAAAGCCTGTGATGAAAACAGTAAAATACTGCTGCTCTTGCTTCTCTATGGACTCTAATTTTTAGTGGATCTGGTTCACAGATAATTCATTTGAGTAACTCTTTCTGTTCCTATAGGTGCTGATTTCAGATAGCAGTCCAAGTCCAAAGAGCAGTACACTGTGGGTTATGGTTTCAGTCCTAGATGAAAATGACAACCGACCAGCTTTTCATGATAAGGTCTACCAAGTCAGACTTCCAGAGAGAGAACGAAGAAAGAAGGCTGAGCCCATCTACCGGGTGTTTGCCTATGACCAGGACGACGGGCCCAACAGTGACCTGTCATACAGCCTTGTGGACGGCAATGAGGATGGAAAATTTTTCATAGACCCCAAAACAGCTGTGGTGTCATCTCGCAAGGCGTTCACTGCAGGAAGCTACGACATCTTGACTGTATGAGTTCATTTTTACCTCTTGTTTCATTCAGTTATTCTAACTCGGTTGCTTGGATGGATCCTATATTTTATTCTTACTTATTTTTGGCAGAAGACAAATGAGTATTCTACTTTCAGACATGCTGCCTTGACTTTCTGTAATTTAGCGAATTGATATAAAAATGGCTCATATTTATAACTGGAACGACATTTTAAAACATAGCTGCAAAGACTTTACCATTTTGTTACTCTGGAAATTATTAGGCTTAATGTTCCAAAAAATCATCAGTTATAGATTTGAGTAAATCAAAAAATGAATTATTGCATACATTGTGACCAATATGATACAGAAAAATGTATTTATTAATACAGAAAAATGTCATTGAATTAGTATAATCACTAAAAGCTCTAAACTATTTATGAACTATTAGATTTAACAGTCATTAATTGTAGCCAGTTTGTGCTTCTCCAGATTAAAGCATCAGACAACGGCCGTCCCCAGAAGTCTTCAACAGCTCGTCTGCATATTGAGTGGATTCGACGACCGCCTCCTTCATCTCCACCATTGCTCTTTGATGAGCCGTTCTATAACTTTACCGTCACTGAGAATGACAAGGTGGCTGAGATTGTGGGTGTGGTGTCTCTGCAACAGAACCCAGCTCCAGTTTGGTTTGATATCACAGGTAAAGTTCCCATGTAGGTGAACAGACATAACCATATGTGCCAGTATGGCTTATAAAAATGATACTTTTTACAAGTGTCAGGCAAAAATTTTTTGCCTGACACTTGTACAGGCAAAACAGTCTTCTAAAGTTTTCAACCTTTAGAAGACTGAACATCAAACCTAAAATATGTGTTTTTATTGTATCTTCTACTTTAAATAAACCTTTTTATGTTTTAGTTTTGTTCATTGCTAACACTTTATAACGGAAAGTTATAAAGATCTATTTGTGTATAGAGACAATACAGACATAAGGTGGTTGCAAATAATTTTTCAAAATCTATTGAATGATTCTGATGATTATCACAGTGACAAGATTTTAGATGTGTCTTCTGTTTAAGCAAACCTAAAGTAAAGAGTAACAAAATGTCATAACTAATGAAATTTATTTTCATAAATTGTTGTAAACTAAACACTGATTTCCCTCCAGAATTTCAATTCTATAGTTTAATAATAACCTTTGCTGGACTAGTAAGACATCCTTGTAGAAATCCTATTTGCAGTGCTGTTAAAAAGTGTTATTTTTTTTAGTAATACAAATAAAGTTCCCACAACAGCCTTGAAAAATGGAGGTCACTGATGTCAGCACACAGAGTTCCAAATAGAACTGTTCCCAATTAAATCGCGAAGCTTTATGCCACTTCTCTGTCACTAGCCGTCAGGGGTTTGTTGGACACCAGTGTCTACATGCTTAAGACTATCCAGGCTCTTCATGTGTTGTTCAACAACAGTGGAATGACCTAATAAGAGCTAGCAGAAAAGGGAGATCCCAGCATGTCTCCAAGAAACTTCTCAGTTCCTCAGTAAGAATCTCCTAAACCAGCATCTACACTGTAGTTTTCGCTCCTTTTCTACTGTATCTCTTTCTGAACTTTCCTCTATGTCTGCACTCTGCTTCTATGCTCGCACCTCAGACACAACCTGATCAGTGGTCTTCCTTCTCAGTAGATTATTAGCTTTGATATTAATTGAATTGTTATATCCCCATTGGTTTGTCACTTCAGATAAAAGCATCTGCCAAATTCAGCTCCATAAACACAACTTAAATTTGAAATGGTCCACAGGGACCGCTCCGTCCCAGCCTCCGAACCCTAAGAGCATTGTACCAGGTTACAGGCTTTGTGGTGATGGCACCATGCTTTGAGTCTGTTTAGCTGTTGATAGTACTGGTTCACAACTGAAGAATCCACAGCTTCACATCACTGGGTGTTATGCATATTTGCTATGAAATAACTAGTGCTGTCTCTGTCCTTTTTCCTATTTTCTTCAAAAATGTATTTTCTTCCTGTCTTACCCTTTCTCTTTTTTTCTGTCTTTGATACTTCATGCCTGGAAGGTGCCAGGCCTTTTCGTGAGATGTTCTATATCTTGCAAAGTGCTTGTTTCAAGAACTGTTCCTCAGAAGGTATTTTATATACACTTTTCATTTTGGCACACTGCTATCAGAAGAAATCCCTTCATTTTGTCGCCTTTTTAAAAACAAACATTTTTACTTGGTCATACCCACAGTCTACCCTTCTTTTTATTTCCTGCCACTGCTTTTTGTTTTGGTTCTGTATTTTCACTAGAAGTTTCCCATTACTCTCTTTTTATCTGCTTCCATGGCTACAAGCCTCTGTTACCTCATTACCCTCCAGTTGCTGACCCTTCATTAGCAGCAGCAATACATTTTTCATAGAATGCAAGTGTTATAGTATTCAGATGTACCTTCACAAACACATTCAAATGGTACATTACTTAATGATCTGGTTATCAAACTGATACAGTTTGTCGAAATGAGGATGTTCCTCTCCACTCCAGATTGAATGTGGAAACCACCTCCTAGAAATTAACGCTACTCATTACTTAGGTAAGCTTCTTAATTAAATCATACGTATACCTCAACATACTGTGTTGGTTTAAAGAAAATTCAATTTGAAATTACATCTAAATTAGGAGTGAAGTGGAAAATCCATGCATTGTCTTCCACTTAATCCAGGATCCAGTTGTGGGTTTAAGAACTTCCTCCTCCCCTTCGCCATTTGGCTCTGCTCTCTCTTTACCATGACACACTGTCAAAGGTGAACACAACCCCTGAGATCCTTAAACTCCTCCACTTGGGGCAGAGCCTTGACCCTGAGAGGCCCTTTACTCTTTTCCAGCTCAATGGAAAATGGTTTTGAATTTGGAGGTGCTGATTTTTATCCTGGCTGTGAACAGATCCTCTTAACAGCTTGGTTGTGGGTGGAAATTCTGCCCATAAAGGTTATGAACAAAATTGGTAACAAAGGGCAACCTTGGCGGAAATCAACTCTTACGGGAAACATGTCTGGCTTCCTTCTGGTACTGTGGGCCAAGCTTTGACACCAGTCATACAAGGACCCAACAGCGCATATCAAGGAGCCTGAAGAACCCCACAAAACTCCCCAAAGGACATAGTCAAACACCTTTTAGGTTGCACTTTGTCTGACGTCTCCCCTAGAACCTGTTTGTCATGGACGAAATTATCAGGGGCAGAAACCCCCTGACTACTGTTAGATCATTGGGACACTCAATCCACTCCACCACCATAAGTTGGCAGCCCATGGAGAAGTGAAGAGGAAGATAGTTGGCTAAACATCTAATTGCTAAAGCTACTCATGATGCATAGGAAGCATCAGTATGTATCATCTGAAAGTGTCATTAAAGAAATGATCAGTCTGAAGTCTTTAAAGGTCTTTCTGTCTGAAGGGTAATATCTAGCTCCATGCCTAAGCTTCATTAAAAAAAGAGAGGAGTACATCAGAAAAATATAATTATTTTCAGATTTACAATACTAATACAATTGGATAGTGATTGATCAAATGGCCAAAAGACTTAATAATAGAACAATTACATATGTATAATGATTAATTAACTAACAAGACATAAATATAAATGTAACGACTTAAAGTGAATTCTTAAAAAGATCTGTAAAGGATAATGACTGTTCTGGTTTTCTTCAGCTGATAAAATGTATATCCAATTAAACAGTCTTCTCTGTAAAAGGTAATTCATGGTTAATGACTATAATTTAGATTGATTGAATACCCAATGGGCTGCACAGTGGCACAGTTGGTAGCACTGTTGCCTTGCAGCAAGAAGATCCTGCATGTTCTCCCTGTGCATGCATGTGCTTGGTTGTTTGTCCTGTCTGTCTCTGTGTTGCCCTGCTGGCGACCTGTCCAGGGTGACCCCACCTCTTGCCAAAAACGTTCGCTGGAGATAGGCACCAGCAACCCTCACAATCCTACTAGAGACAAGGGTGTTAGAAAATGTGGTAAATATTTCTCAAAAGATATTAAAACCATCCATAAGAAAAATATGCTGCTTTATGGATCAACCAGATTTGGGCCTGACACATTTTATGCACGATGCTGTGGTGAATTTTGCTGAACACCAGGCTACATTTATTCATTGAATTATGACATGTTTATTTTCAGAAAAACTTTGTATGACTCACTGCATAAGTTCTTCTTCCAACTCTTGTTTGGGAGCAGGTGGGAACAGCGACAGTGTGTTCGACGTGGAGCGGACAGCAGCTACCATCATCATCGCAAAGCCTCTGGATGCTGAGCAGCGTTCCTTCTACAACCTGACAGTGCAGGCCACAGATGGCACCAGCACTGCATATGTACAGGTGACCTCTCACTATGACCTTCTGTTTTTCTTGTTGTAACATTTAGTATTTATTGAATCTATTTTCCAGGCTCTCCATGAAACATCTCTGCTGTGTATTAGTGAAATGCTCAATTAAACTTCATCCTCCATCTTTCAAGTACTCACTTTATGCTCTTAAAGCACCTTAAAGCACATTAACACTGCTGGTGGACCTGCTGCAGCTTGTTAGCTTAAAGTAGCATAATGAAAACCAAGCACAGATTAGCATTCGGGACACAGAGAGGGAAATCCTTGTTTGGTGATTTCTATTAAGAAGTTTTTACTTTTCTCTATTAAAATACTCTGCCACATACCTAACTTGACTATTTGGTCTGACTATTTTTATCGTAGAGAAAGGTAGATTGAATAGCGTCCATGATCATGATTCTATTGTTATTCTTGTGATCTTTCTTGTCATCTTCATAGTTTGTATTTAAATTTTTTATTTAGACTTTGCATTGAATTCCTAATCTTGCGCAGACATTATACATTTTATCTCCTATATGTCAGTAAGTATAGCATGCGACATGAATAGAAAAGGGCTCGATAAAATGTTTGGAATTTTTTTTTTTTGCTAAATGTGGATGTGTCATGATGCATATGAATGGGACCAAAATGCAGATGATGCCACATTTAATGTCACGATAAGAAATTTACAAGGAACAGAACATAGGAGAACAAGAAGTGGACAACAGTGGAATCTGGTGGTCACTGACTGACAGTGAAGAGCTCACATACTAGAAAGTTTGATTTGTGGACAGAGAACCGGTGGCTGGTGGAGATCAGAGAGGTAGACTAAATGAAAAAAAGAAATCAATACAAGGAAATAACATAAGCCAAAAGTCTAAACAACAGGAGGTATGACAGGACTGCTGTTTGTGAAATTGAGCACATTAAAAACTAAAACAGCACATTTCAGTTAATACTGCCTTTCATCTTTTTATTTTTAACTCATTCCTTTTCGTCTTACCAATGTCTCTATGTTCCAGGTTTACATTACTGTTCTAGACAGTAATGATAATGATCCCGTCTTCTCACAACAAGTCTACGAGGTCATTATTTCGGAGGATACACCACCCAACACTGAAGTGGTCCAGATACTGGCATCAGACCGAGACGAGCATCACCAGCTCACCTATTCTCTCCACAGCTCCATAGACTCTAGAAGCATGCGTCTGTTCCACATCCACCCAATGCTGGGAACAGTCTACACTGCCCAGAGGCTGGACCATGAGGCCTGTGCCCAGCACATTTTGACTGTCATTGTATGTATACTTTGCTTAAGAATAAGCCCTTCCTTTGATCCTAGCTCTTTTAATGAAGGTTTTGCCATTTAAGGATTATGTTAGAGCTTAAATATTTTCTGAACTGACCACATTGATAAAAATTTGACCCAACATCCTTAAAGGAATGTTTCATTAAAATATTACTTCTTTAGTTTATTTATTATTACTTTGACCATTAAAACATAGCTGAATTACAGCAAATCCTAAAGAAAACAATGTGCTAGTTAGAAAAAATATCTTTTGAAACACTGGGTTACAAAAAACATTTTTTGGAACTTGTCAATTATTTTTCAACTGATTTATGACTATTTAGCATGGCTGAATCCAAAGATGACATTCATTTTTTGCAATCAGGTCAGGTTTTTATTCTAATTTGATTTAGAGAAATCTGACTTTCTGACTAAATTTTGACATTATTGTTGTGATCTGTGTTTTCTGTGTATTTATTTTGAGGTTTTTCAGTGTTTATTAGCCTGTTCCCCTGTGAGTCTCTGTTGATTGTTCCCAGCTGTGTCTCATTTCTTTGATTACCCTCCCAGTGTATTTAGTCCCACCTGTTGTCTTTGTCTCTTGTCGGATCCTCGTCGTGTCTAACCAGTCCATTCTGCCAGCTTCTTGTGTTCCTGTGTTTATCATCATCTTCATCCTCATCCTGGCCTGCCTGCGTCTCCCCTCACCACACCAAACCAAACCCACCAATCATGACAGTAGGATCTGACCACAACAGAAGGTGAGAGATGCATGATGGGGCTTCGACGGTGGAGCCCGTGGCGGTGCTTTGGAGCAGTCCTGCTGGAACAGTTCTGTGGCGGAGCTCTGCTGTGGGGATCGCGGTGGGGATCGCGGCTGGTGACCCCCCCCCCCCCCCCCCCCCCCCGCGCGGCAGGCCGCCCCCTCCCT